AACTTCTCCTTTTTCATTTCTCATTTTATTGATTTGAGTCCTCTCCCTCTTTTTCTTGATGAGTGTGGCTAAAGGTTTATCAGTTTTGTTTATCTTCTCAAAGAACCAGCTGTTACTTTTATTAATCTTTCCAATTGTTTTCTTTGTTTCTATTTCATTTATTTCTGCTCTGATCTTGATGATTTCTTTCCTTCTACTAACTTTGGGTTTTGTTTGTTCTTCTTTGTCTAGTTCCTTTAGGTGTAAGGTTAGATTGTTTATTTGAGATGTTTGTTGTTTCTTGAGGTAGGATTTTATTGCTATAAACTTCCTTCTTAGAACTGCTTTTGCTGCATCCCATAGGTTTTGGATTGTCGTGTTTTCATTGTCATTTGTCTCTAGGTTTTTTTTTTTTTTTTTTTTTTGTGGTACGCAGGCCTCTCACTGTTGTGGCCTCTCCTGCTGCGGAGCACAGGCTCCGGCCACGCAGGCTCAGCGGCCATGGCTCACGGGCCCAACCGCTCCGCGGCATGTGGGATCTTCCCGGACCAGGGCACGAACCCGTGTCCCCCTGCGTCGGCAGGCAGACTCTCAACCACTGTGACACCAGGGAAGCCCTCTAGGTATTTTTTGATTTCCTCTTTGATTTCTTCAGTGATCTCTTGGTTATTTGGTAACATATTGTTTAGCCTCCACGTGTTTGTGTGTTTTACGTTTTTCTCCGTGTAATTTATTTCTAATGTCATAGCGTTGTGGTCAGAGAACATGCTTGATATGATTTCAATTTTCTTAAATTTACTGAGGCTTGATTTGTGACCCAAGATGTGATCTATCCTGGAGAATGTTCTGTGTGCACTTGAGAAGAAAGTGTAATCTGCCGTTTTTGAATGGAATGTCCTATAAATATCAATTAAATCTCTCTGGTCTGTTGTGTCACTTAAAGCTTGTGTTTCCGTATTTTCTGTCTGGATGATCTGTCCACTGGTGTAAGTGAGGTGTTAAAGTCCCCCACTATTGTGTTACTGTCAGTTTCCTCTTTTATAGTTGTTAGCAGTTGCCTTATGTATTGAGGTGCTCCTATGTTGGGTGCGTATATATTTACAACTGTTATATCTTCTTCTTGGATTGATCCCTTGATCATTATATAGTGTCCTTCCTTTTCTCTTCTAACGTTCTTTATTCTAAAGTCTATTTTATCTGAGACAAGTATTGCTACTCCAGCTTTCTTTTGATTTCCATTTGCATGGAATATCCTTTTCCATCCCCTCACTTTCAGTCTGTATGTGTCCCTAGGTCTGAAGTGGGTCTCTTGTAGACAGCATATATATGGGTCTTGTTTTTGTATCCATTCAGCGAGCCTGTGTCTTTTGGTTGGAGCATTTAATCCATTCACGTTTAAGGTAATTATTGATATATATGTTCCCATTACCATTTTTTAATTGTTATGGTTTTTTGGGTTTTTTTTTTATCACGGTGCGTGGGCCTCTCACTGTCGCGGCCTCTCCCATTGTGGAGCGCAGGCTTCAGATGCACAGGCTCAGTAATTGTGGCTCACGGGCCTAACTGCTCCGCGGCATGTGATCCTCCTGGACCGGGGCACGAACCCGTGTCCCCCACATTGGCAGGCGGATTCTTAACCACTGCGGCACCAGGGAAGCCCTGGGTTTGTTTTTGTAGGTCCTTTTCTTCTCTTGTGTTTCCCACTTAGAGAAGTTCCTTTAGCATTTGTTGTAGAGTTGGTTTGGTGGTGCTGAATTCTCTGAGCTTTGCTTGTCTGTAAAGCTTTAGATTTCTCCCTCGAATCTGAATGAGATCCTTGCTGGGTAGAGTAATCTTGTTGTAGGTTCTTCCCTTTCATCACTTTAAATATGTCATGCCCACTCCCTTCTGGCTTGTACAGTTTCTGCTGAGAAATCAGCTGTTAACCTTATGGGAGTTCCCTTGTATGTTATTTGTCATTTTTCCCTTGCTGCTTTCAATAATCTTTCTTTGTCTTTAATTTTTGCCAATTTGATTACTATGTGTCTCGGCATGTTTCTCCTTGGGTTTATCTTGTATGCGACTCTCTGAGCTTCCTGGACTTGGGTGCCTATTTCCTTTCCCATGTTAGGGAAGTTTTCGACTATAATGTCTTCAAATATTTTCTCGGGTCCTTTCTCCCTCTCTTCTTCTTCTGGGACCCCTAGAATGTGAATGTTGTTGCGTTTAATGTTGTCCCAGAGGTCTCTTAGGCTGTCTTCGTTTCTTTTCATCCTTTTTTTTTATTCTGTTCCGCAGCAGTCAATTCCACCATTCTGTCTTCCAGGTCGCTTATCCGTTCTTCTGCCTCAGTTATTCTGCTATTGATTCCTTCTAGTGTATATTTCATTTCAGTTATTGTATTGTTCATCTCTGTTTGTTCTTTAATTCTTCTAGATCTTCGTTAAACGTTTCTTATATCTTCTCGATCTTTGCCTCCATTCTCTTTCCGAGGTACTGAATCATCTTCACTATCATTATTCTGCAGTCTTTTTCTGGAAGGTTGCCTATCTCCACTTCATTTAGTTGTTTTTCTGGGGTTTTACCTTGTTCCTTCATCTGGTACATAGCCCTGTGCCTTTTCATCTTGTCTGTCTTTCTGTGAATGTGGTTTTTGTTCCACAGGCTGCAGGATTGCAGTTGTTCTTGCTTCTGCTGTCTCCACTGTTCACACTTTTGGTGCTTGTCTTTCTAGATCTTTTTAAATAGCTTACATCACTGAAATATTTCTGCGTGTGTGTGTGTGTGTGTGTGTGTGTGTGTGTGTGTGTGTGTGTGTGTGTAAGAGGTGATAGCTGGTATTTTTCCCTTATCAGCAAGCCCTCATAGTCTTTTCATGCTAGGGAGTTTGATTTGCTGAGGTTCAGAACCACACAGCATTTCCTCATGTGGTGACGCCACATTCACTGTCCCTGCGTCTCCAGGATCGAGCATTTAGCGCAGTTTCCCTTCTTCCCCACTCGGGACTGCACTGCATGGCATGTATCCTTATACATAACTTGCACACTTCTCTCATCACCTCCTGAGTTTAAATACCAGTCAAGTTTCTGGGTCAGAGGACGTGGTCATTTTTAAGTTCTTGGTCCATGTTGCCATGTTGCCTGCTGGACGGTTGGACTGTGTGTAAGGTCTTTCCCCAGTCCTTTCCAACTCTGCAGTAAAAAATTTTTTTCCATTGTGTTAGGTGAGAAGTGATGGTTTTAGTATGCAAAAGAAAAACAGATTTCTAAAGCCCTATCTTGTGATGAGTGGGATTGCCGGCCAGTCAGCCTCAGCACTGAAAAGCGCGACACGCTAGGGTGATCCCAGCGATGGCGGGTAGGATGACCACAGGCCCGGGGAGTGCCGATGCCGCGTGCGGTCAAGTAGGAAGTTCATCGGGGCGCAGAGGCAGTCAGCGACGGGGGCTGCGGGGACGGCCGTGTCTCGTACCTGGAGTGTAGTTGTGGGAGGGGACTGCTCTGCGGTAGGAAGGTGACCACGCAGCAGGATCAGGCCTGGGTGGGAGGGAACGCCTAGGCTCACGAGCCCTTTCAGGTAAGGCTGAGCTGGCCAGGCCTTCCATCCTCCTGGGGACTGGGGCCTGGTGTCCAGTCCTCTCCTCCTCTTGTTCTTGTGGTAAGTGAAGCTGAGAATCAACCACGAAGGGGCTGTGACGTAAGTTTGTTCATGCAGCTGTGAGGCGGCCTTTAAGAACCAGTCTGGGAGAAGGGACCAAGGGTGGGGGTTCAGTTCCTGCTTGCAGTCCTGGCAGGTCAAGCAGGACCGGTGTCCCCCTCCTCGTCCCCCCTCCATGTCCTGAGACACAGGGAGTCTGACATTACAGGTCACAGGCCCGAGCAGAGGCACAACAGGTCACACTGCACTGTGACCTCGCCGAGCCCCAGCTTCTGGCCGTGCCCACCGAGTTGCCCACCCGCCTCGGACTCGCCTGTCAGGACCAGTGCTGCCTGCCCAGTGGCTGGAGCAGGTGTTTCCAGTCTCCCCAGCCCCACAGGATCTGTTTTGAGAGTCTCCATTCAGGTTATTTAGCAAGTAGTCATAAATTCAAATTCAGAGGCACGTTTGGTTAATCCCAGTCACGCAGGCGAGCAGTCAGTACAAGCAGTGCCACGTGTGAAGCTGAGCCCCAGGCTGCCTGCTGCCCCCAGGCCCCAGCCCTGCCTTGACGCCTCCTCCTTGGGCCTCACAGGCTTGAGCAGAGGTGGGCAGGTGACAGCGTCCTCTAGGAGCCTGTGCTGGTGGCCACACATCCACCGTGTGCCTGGGATGCCCCTCCTCCCCTGCTGCCAGGGTGGCTATGGTCTCTAGGTCCCTAGGTCTGTAAGGGGGTGCCTCCCCAAACCCGGGTAGTCTGGTACTTGGGAAGCAGTGTGTGTGCTTGCCGTCGGCTTTAGGGAGAAAGTTGGGGTTGGAAGAGGGGCGTGAGGCTCACAAAACTCCTTAGCTAGGGTCACTACTGTAGGCACTGCGGGGGGAGGAGCGCGTCACGTCTGTGAAAGGGACTGGCTCAGTGCAGGGTGCACGGGCGTGCATGTCAGGCAGCTGCGTGCTCTGTCTGTGACTGGCTCACCACTTGGAACCTCTGGCTCTTCATCTGTGAAAGGAGGACCCTGACGCTGAAGCGTTGCTGGGAAAGTGAGGAGTTGGCAGTGGGTACCCAGCCCGTCTTAGTTTCTGCTCTCTTCCCCTGAGGCTGAGGGAAGTGGCCACTTCCTTTAGAATAAGGGTGTCCCATTTCTTTTTTTGGGGTGGGGGGTGCCTTCAGGGATGTTTGTGAGAGCATCTCAGTGACAGATTGCCTGGTTCTGAGGCGTTGGGACTGTTCTCTCCCGGCCCGGGGAGGGTTGGCAGGATGGTTAACTCCATCTGGATGCTGCCTGTTGTCTTCAGGAAAGCTTTTGGTAAGAGCAGATGAGCACTGTTGCGGTCTGTCCCCTTCAGCCCTCTGGGGCCCTCAGCTTTCCCAGCTGGACCCGCACTGAGCCCTCCTCTCTCTGCAGGTGGCCATGAACATCCTCAACAGCGGGCGGTTCAGCATGGGCAGTGCCGTGGCTGGGATGCTCAAGAAACTGATCGGTACGTAAGTCAGGGACAGCAGCCCTTTGCGGCAGACTTGCCCCTGGTGCCCCTGCCTGCTCCGGCCCAGGGGCTCTGCCACGTCCCTGGGCGGGCGGGCCAGCGCTGAGCCAGGCCGCTGACAGCCAGTCCTGTCCAAGTCTAGGATCAGGGCTTCAAGTTAGACTGAAGGGTGCACTGAGGCTGCCCCTGAAGGGCTAGTGTTGAGGTTTCAACACGCACAGGATGGGGGAGGCGGGGGACCTTCTGGTGGAGGTAGAGAGGGGTGGCTGCTCTGCCTGCTGAGTGAACACCTGAATGTGGGCTGGACACCGAAAAGCCTGAGCACTGGTTGTCTGTGGATGACTCTGCACAGTGGGTGAGCCGCGGGGTCAGCTTGGGGACCCTGGTCCCTCAGCCTTTGGATTGTCCCTTTCCTCTTTTATGGGCACTGAACCCTAGACTTCCCTTTGCCAGTGAAGTTAAAACAGCCTGATAGGGGTTTTGGGGGGCACGGAACGTCACTGCCATCTTTGCTTTGTGCGAGGGACCACAGGGACACGCAGGGCCCTGGCTGTGGTGCGGGCGTACCCGGGGCCAGCTCCCCACTGGGTGCTCAGGAAGCTGCTCAGAGTTCAGGGCAGAGTTCGTTTATAGACAAAGGGACGGACGCTCAGAGCAGGGGAGTGATTTGCCCGAGACCACACTCCCCGATCAGACTGCGAGCTCAGGGCTTGTCTCCCTCTGCTAAGCTTCCCCCAAGGCCCTGAGCCCATCTGGACTGTGCTTCCTTGTCTGGAAAACTCAATGCAAGGGCTTCACTCTCGTGGTCAGTCTGTCCCCAGAGAATGTAGAGCCCCTGAGATCGCAAGGCCCAGAAATGGGGGAATGTGGGAGCCTGTCCACCCTGGGTGTCTACCGTGCGAGCCCACTGTGAGAGTGGGTTACGCGTGAATGTCCGTGGGGAGTGTTGGGAGAGTGCTGGCTGCAGGGAGGGGGTCCGCTGTGGGCACGTGCGCGCCTGCAGGGCTGGCGCGGAAGCCACAGGCCACCCTCCTGCTGCCAGATGGACACATGTGCCGGGTGTGAGCCTGCTTCTCTGTGCAGGGCGTCCCGTGGCCTTTGCTGTCTCTCTGAGGTCAATAGTGTTGATGAGGGCAGGGAGACCACGTGGCCCAGGCTCGGCTGCTAAGAGCGAGAGTTGGGTCCAGACGTGTCTGACTGGCTCCTGATCCTGCTCTGCCTCCACCCTGGGTGCCACTCAGAGGGGACAGTCACTCCTGAACCTGGAGATGTTGGAAGGCAGGACTCTCATTTTCAGGGTGTCGGTCTCAGCAGACCCGCTCCTCGTAGATCCTGCCTGAGTGTTTGAAGGGTGGTGACGATAGACTGAGGAAATCGTTTTAAGACAGCCGGAAAATTGTTCTTTGATAACTCTGCTCCTCTTCAGAGATGACCGCTGAGTACGCCTGCACGAGGAAACAGTTCAACAGGAACCTCAGCGAGTTTGGCTTGATTCAGGTATGGAGGGTCAAGCACCGCACGGGCTGACTCTACCTCGTGGGCATTGAAAGTGTGCTTGGGGCTCTGTACTGCCGACTCCTAGGCGGTGATTCGGGGAGAAGATGAGCACGTGGCCCCTTTTACGAGTGCCGGGCCTTGGTGCTCTTGGGTACTGGGCCTGGTCTGAATTGCCTTCTCTGCTGCTCGGCAGGTTTGGGTCTCAGTACAGGCAGATTCTTTCTTGATTGTGTATTTTTCTGAACGCTCCAGGAGAAGTTTGCCCTGATGGCTCAGAAGGCTTACGTGATGGAAAGTATGGCCTACCTCACCGCGGGGATGCTGGACCAGCCGGGCTTCCCTGACTGCTCCATCGAGGCTGCCATGGTGAAGGTAACCCCACGCACAGCGTGCCTGCCGTCTTCCTCCTTAGTTTGTCTCTGCTTAGGTATTTACGAGGTACCCACCGTGCCAGGCACCCCTGGGATGCAGCCGGGGAGAGCAGAGTAGCGTAGGAGCAGCAGCAGAGGACAGCGTCCAGCTTACGAGAGGCCAGTGTCTCCCAGCAAGCTGCTGGTGATGACAGCAAAAGAAGAGGATACACACTGTGTATTGTAACTTCCTGTCTTCCTAACAAAGCAGCTGGGCTTCCTTGGGAAGGACTGTGCTGTCCTGAGTCTGTGGTCTTCCTGCATTTTGGTATCAAAACTTCCTTTCATGAAATAGCTGGTGGAGGCAAACAGCACAGAGTTCCCTGTGCTTCTGTCTTGTTTTGGGGAGGGGGGTCAGTTTTTGGCCACCAGTGAGACGTGACAGTCAGGGCTCCTACCTGGGTCATCTCATCCCAAAGCCCAGTCCTCCGCGTGGAGCTCCCACCCCGTCCGCAGCCACCTGGCCCCGAGGCAGAGGGTCCTCCTCCTGAAGGGGCTTTGGGGCTGACGGCCCCATGCTGACCTCGCCCCGGGTCCACGGCAGGTGTTCAGCTCCGAGGCCGCCTGGCAGTGTGTGAGCGAGGCGCTCCAGGTCCTCGGGGGCTCAGGCTACATGAGGGACTACCCGTACGAGCGCATCCTGCGCGACAGCCGCATCCTGCTCATCTTCGAGGTGAGTGCGCCGCCCGCCAGGCTCTCGGCCCCGCCCCGCTCTGCTGTGGACCCCAGAGCCTCGTGGTCCTGGCGCCAGGCCGCAGAGCCCAGGCCGGCTGGCGCGTCCTCTCACTCGACCGCCCGCAGGTGTCCGCCTGGGAGGCCGGGGTGCAGCCTCCAGTGCCCATTCCAGGTGATGAGGCAGCTGGCAGGGTCACCCCAAGGGCATTCCCCGGCGCCTCTGATGTTGGGAGTTCACAGGCTGGGAGCAGGGAGGAAAGGGCATTGGGACCCCAGAGTCGCCTTTGGGGCGCTACTGGTCTGGTCGTGCAGCCTGGCTGAGAGAGGACGACTCCAGAACACCAGTGTGGTGAGGGGCTGGGGTCTCAGGAAGGAGCGCACTTGGCCTTGGGGGCAGAGAGGGCAGGGGAGTGGAGTGTGCCAGGTCCTGACGGGACCGTACCTGCTGGTACCAGGTAAACGGAGCAGCGGCCGGTCCTGCTCGGCGGGGCTGGGGTATTGGTGGGGCAGGGTGGGCAGGGCAGAGGGACTGGGCAGGAAGGCCAGAGATACTGCCAGCCATGGAAGCCTATTTGGATCGTACTGTGAGGGCCGGGAAGCAGTAACAAAGTTTGGAGCAGAGAATGGCTTGCTTGCATTCACGACCCTGGAAATGCCCCAAGCCTGCCCAGGGCGTAGGTGGCAGCGGTGCGGCCAGCGGCTGTGGAGGGAGGCCGGCCAGGATTTCAGGCTGGACACAGGTGTGCAGAGGCAGACCCTGGGACCAGTGCGAGGCTGGGCGCCTGGGGGGCTCCCCTTCCAGGGGAAAGACCGCATTGGCTGCTAGTGTCCCCTGTGTCCTCTCCCTTAGTGGACAGGGTGCGGCCAGCCCGAGGCCCCAGGGACAGGTCCCACCTCACGACCCTGCTGCCCCAGGCCTGCCTCTCCCAAGGCCCCTCCCCTTGGCCCGGGTGAGTGCGGTCCTCTGTGGCTGGTGGGGTGGTCAGCACGGGTTCAGGGGCTCTGAGGGGTGCAGGGCCCTCAGCGTGAAGCCAAGACCACCCGGGACGGGCCCGGGTCAGCCTGGAGTTCTCCCTGCTGCCACTTCTGCTCCCACGGAGTCTCCGTCCGTGGCGCGGCCTGGCGGTGTGCCCCAGTCCAGCCCCGCCTCTCTGACTCTCAGCACCACTGTGCACGACAGGCACGAGCCCCCTGGTCTGCGTCCCCGAGGTCACGTGGCTCACGGTTGGGGGGGTGCCCAGGGGTGGCAGCAGGGAAGAGGTAGCCCCCGGGGTGTTGGCACCTGGCACTGTGGTGCAGCCAGCTGCTTCCCGAGGAGCCAGGCCTGGACTGAGCCAGTAGTGGGTCCACTAAGGACTTGTGTCCTGGGTACTAGTACCCTTCACTTCTTTTAAGGGGGCTGTTTCTCTGCTTAAAAGAAGTAAAATCGGAAGCTTGGAAAAAGGAATGACTCATGCACAGTTGGTCATGGGATGGGGTAGGTCCCAGAGGGAGGCCGCCGCCATCTGGTCAGCCCCAACTTGTCCCGCGGAAGCAGTAGCCCACGTGCTGCCCTGGCCCCCGGTCACAGCCCTGCTCCCAGCTGCTTCTGAAGAGTGAGCGGGATGCAGCAGGGCCTAGCCAGTCACACACGCGGCACTGCTAGGGCTGCCCTGACGTGGGCAGCCTTTGACCTGGATAATGTTGGCCACAGGGAACCAACGAGATTCTCCGGATGTACATCGCCCTGACAGGCTTGCAGCATGCCGGCCGCATCCTGACTGCAAGGGTCAAGTAGGTACCGCGTCCACCGTCTGCCCCTCGGGTCCACCCTGCCCAGCAGAGGCCTGTCCCGGGGCAGCCAGAGAAGGGTGCTGCCTCATCCGTAGACCAGGCGTGCAGCCTGGCAGGGGTCAGTTGGCTCACAGGCTGGCTGGAGGGAGGGAAGCCGCCAGGGCCCTGCCCTCCTCCCCTGCAGCTCCCGTCTAGAACCGGGGCAAGGAGAGGCGCCAGCTCCAAGGCCAACACAGGACTGGTTTCCTCTCCTGCCCCCACCCTGGGGCCAGGACAGTGAGTAGTCCCTGCCGGCGCCCAGGCATGGCTGGCCCAGAGGACTTCTCAGGCTCTCGGGGAGAGAATAACCTGGAAGCAGGTGTGACCCGGGTGTCCCCTCGGGCTGTACAGGAGACGGCTGCTCCCTGACGAACTGTCCAGGTCCTGGGTTGGCCCCTCTGGCTTTGCATAGTCAGGGAGCTTTTGCCCAGGTTTCCTAGAGCTGCTGGCATGGAGGCGGGGCCGTGTTGCTGGGCAGCAGGAGCCGGCTGCAGGGCCTCTGCTTACAGAGCCTGGGTTCTCTGCAGGCAGCTTAAACAGGGCAATGTGACCACCATCATGGAGACTGTCAGCCGGAGGGTTCGGGACTCCCTGGGCCGAACTGTGGACCTTGGGCTGACAGGGAAGCTCGGAGCCGTGCACCCCAGCATGGAGGTGAGTGGGTCCAGCCAGGGGTATCCCCTTCCCAGAGGGGGCGTGGCGGGGGCACCGGGGAGGACCAGGCAGTCCGAGGGTCACCAGGTGCCTTCTCCACCCTGTCACGATGGAGAACAGCCAAGCCTGGCAGCAGGGCCTGGGCACCACGGGAGGGCGGTGCTGAGCGGAATCCTCCCCCCGGCCCCCCAGGACAGTGCCCACAAGCTCGAGCAGAACGTGCACTACTTCAGCCGCACGGTGGAGACCCTGCTGCTTCGCTTTGGCAAGGTACCTGGGGGCAGCGAAGCGGGCCAGCATTTGTGAGATGACATTTTGCCAAGCGTGGGGACCAGGCCTAGAAATCTTGGTCACCTTGGAGGGCTGGGGAAGCAGGGCTGGCTGTGGCTGCCTGCCCTGGGGACCACTCAGCTAGCTGGGGAGCGTGGGGGGAGCCCTTGCTGGGTGGGCACCTTCTAGGTGACCAGAGGCTCCCTGGAGCCGGGAGGGGCAGCCCCACCTGGACCTTACTCTTAGGACCTGATCTGTGTTTCTTGCATCCAAAGGTGGTAATAAGCACTGGCCGGTGGTCTCAGCCCGGCTTCTGGGACATGATCTTGTCTTGACTCCTGCCCAGATCTGGACAGAGCTAAGGGAAAACCCGAAGGGAAGGCAGTGTTAGCCCTGCTCCCCCAGGGTGTAGAGAGAGGCTGAGAGATGAGCAAAGGTGGGCCTGGAAGAGTGTGTTGGAGTCGTGTCCGGGTGGCCAGTCTCCACCCTGCCCTCTGTTCCCAGACCATCGTGGAGGAGCAGTTGGTCTTGAAGCGAGTGGCCAACATCCTCATCAACCTGTACGGGATGACAGCCGTGCTGTCGCGGGCCAGCCGCTCTATCCGCGTGGGGCTTCAGAACCACGACCATGAGGTGGGCCCGCCCCTCCCACCTGCACAGGCAGCCTCCCTGCAGGGGTCCTCCTGCTGCACTTTAATGAGGCTGGGTAGTGGGGAAGGGAGGGGCTGGGCGCGTCCAGGGCTGTGTCCTGGGGGTCAGGGTGAGCACGGGGTCCACGCCAGCTGACCCAGAAATGGGTGGGGTTGCCAAGTTGTGTCCGTGGCCATAGCTGGTGCTCTCAGCTCCCATGGGCGGGTCTGTGCTGTTCAGGACACAGGGCCACTGCCCTTCACCTTCCTGCCTGGGGGCGGGGAGGGGGAGTGAGTGTGGAATCCGAAACCCAGCGCCCTCACCCCATGTGCCAGCAGGGTGGGTGCGGTCTGAGCACCTGCTGTGTGCACGCCCGCAGTCTTGATGTGCACCGTGCCTGCGGGGATTGAGTCACTTGCCCTGGGGACAGAGCTGGTTTGGCTCACGGCTGCCATGGCTTCTGAGCCAGGCCACCTGACTCTGGTCAAGCTGCCCGCTTTGGCTGACCGAGTTCTTTGAAGCTCAGAGGTCAGGCTCCAGGCCGGGCGGCGCTAAGGCCCAGCGATCCCAGGGTCCTCAGCAGTCATCCTCTCGGACTTTGGTTCTGGCAGGTTCTGTTGGCCAACATCTTCTGCACGGAAGCTTACTACCAGAATCTCTTCGCTCTGTCTCAGCTGGACAAGTGTAAGTGGGCGGCTCAGGTTGGGGGAGAGTGGGGGGGTGGGACCTGATGCCAGGTGAGAGCCTCTTGGGGGGACCCCTGTACCCAGCTGACCTGCGGAGGGAGGAGCGCGGGACTCCACGCAACTCTGAGCACTGGCACCCCACACCCACCGTGCTGACGCGGCTGTCACCACCTGCAGTGGGGATGACGAAATGGCTTCTCCAGCAGGTGGGGTCGCCAGGGGGCAGCCCACAATCACTTCCTGGGGACGGGGCTGCCACCTTCAGGGCTCCTTCACACCGGAGGGCTGACTTCGTGATAACAGGAACTGCTGGAACATTTTTTTCCAAAGATCACCTACTCTTCCTCTTTCCCTCCCAGATTCTCCGGAAAATCTCGATGAACTGATCAAGAAAGTGTCCCAGCAGGTCCTAGAGAAGCGAGCCTACGTCTGTGCCCACCCTCTGGACTGGACATCCTGAAGCAGGGGGACGGCATCCCTGCTGCTGTCCGCCTGACACACGCCTTCCAGAAGGTAGAGAACTTGCTTTATTACAAGCTGACCAAGTTCTCTGACGGGCCTTCTCCAGGCCCCCGTGGGCACTATTGTCTGACACGATCCCGGGCTCTGAGCCGACACGGGGAGAGCGCGGAGCTGCTGAGACTCGCCTCACCGGGAGGCTTCGGGGTGGAAGCTGGCCTGGGGTGGTAGGGCCGCGTCTCAGCAGGGTGGCCATTTCTGCCAGACCACACGTTCTCCAAGAAACAGCTTGAAAACCGCGTATGTGTCATTCTTTAAGCTAGGAGCCAAAGGAAGGACAGTTTGTGTTTCCCCTTCTAGTGTTTGCTGCACTGGTCACCTGTTTCCTCAGAGCCAGCCTCACAACCTCTTGACCCTGAGCTCCCCCCTGTGGTGGTGGCTTCCAGGGCCCTTTGTCCTCATGTGTGAGAAGAGGGCTCCAGGAGCAGAGGGGCAGGTGCCCGGGCCACGGTGCTCTGCGGGTTTGGTCCTGCGCAGGTGATGTTGCTGCTGCCTGACAGCAGGTGCTGCTCCTAGCTGGTGCTTCTCTGCCACTTGACAAGGACGAGCAGCATCTTCCGGCGGCACAGACGGGCCTCTACACACCTGCCCTGGTGTGCTCACCTGGCAGGCTTCCTGCTCGGGCGGTTCCCAGTGCTTTGCCCATCACAGGCCTTGCCTTGAGGCGGCCAGGCTTTGGTCCTGGGAGGAGGAGCCGTCATCCACCTGCGGGGCTAGGCCTGCTGCCGGCGTTCTGACAGCTCATCTTCCCGATGACACCGCAGCTTCTTTGCTGGCGTAGATGGAGAGGTCATGGCTTCTCACCTGGTGCCAGGACAGCAGTCTGCGGGGAGCTGTTCTCACCCATGTGTCTTCAGGTGTGCGCCCTGGGGCTGGGAAGGGCCGGAGCAGCGAGCCTGCTGTCCCTGCACTGGACCACAGCAGTGACCCTGAGCCTGGGACCCTGCCTGCGGCCCCAGAGCCTGGGGCCTCTACTGAAGGGAGGTGGCACAGCCCAGAGGAGGGGAGTAGACCAGTTTCAGCAGCTTGTCAGCATGTCCTCCGGTTTCACGGAGCTGTTACCAGCAGCCCTTAGGAGTCAGGGAAGGAAAGCACTCCACCGTTTATCCAGTCTAGCTTTCTGGGCAAGGGGTCTCTTTCTGGGCAAGGGGTCTGTGGCCAGATCAACTCACCGCTCTTTCTCCCTGAAGATTCTGGTTCTGTTAATTCACAGGTTTGGTTCTCTACCTATAAATGATTTCTGGTCCCTCTGCACAAACGGGGGATGAAGAAAACTTGGAGGGGTGGTGTGGCCAGGCCCCCGCCCGCCCCCACGGGTGACAACCAGCTGTGTCTGGGAGCCGGAAGGGCCCAGCAGCACCCAGAGCCTGCCGAGGCTGGTCATGGGTAACACAGTGTGAAGCCTGAAAGCCCTTAGCCCTACCTTCCAAGGCCTCCCTTTCATAGAAACCAAGCCCAGAGCGGTGGCGGGACCTGCCCCGCCCCCCCCCATCACACAGCAAGTGAATCCAGCTGGAACCAGAAGTTCCGGCCAGCCTGCGCTCTGAAGCCAGCCCCCCGCCGAATCCTGATTTCCCAGCCCAGGAGTGTGGCTGCTAAAACAGAACAGGTGCCGCCCACAGTTACCTGTCCCGGGCTTTGGCGCGGGAGGGGCCGGTGGCGGCTGTGTGTACAGATCCAAGTCCTGGGGGTGCCGGTCCCAGCCCCTGCTCTCGCGGTGCAGCACTGACTCCAGTATTTTAGCAAACAGCGCTTTCTCCCTCCACTCCTACGTTGGGGGGCAGCAGGTCAGGGGGAGGCCCCTGCGGACGCCCACCGGAGACCCACTCCCGCCACCCACCTCTGTGACGGCGCCAAGGGGTGGCAGCCCCAGGTGATGTGTCCTGCCCGTGCTGTGAAGACCGGTCACTTGGAACCCGTTGGGTGTGAGCCAGGCGTCACGGGACTTCCTCTCAGCTTTTCTCTTCTCATCTGAATCCTGAGGCTCCACTGTGGCTGACAGGTAGCTCTGGGAGTGCGTGAGTCTCCTCGGCTCCTGGAAATGCGAGCAGACGTGGCTAGATGGGCTGACAGCGGACCTCGGTGGGGCTGACCGGCTGCCAGTCTTGGGGGCAGGATGCTGGCTCCTGGCCGTGCGGGGTGCATGCTGGTTACCAGAGCCAGGCAGCAGCCCAGTGAGGGCCACGTCCCTCGAGGAGCGAAAAAGCTGAACCCTCCTATATTTTCGTGGGAATGTACATTGGCAAAAGCCACCATAAAGGACAGTATCGAAGCTCCTAACAAAAGTAAAAGGAGCCCAGCCCCAGGAGCACTCCTGGGCGTGTATCTGGAGAAACCCATAATTGGAAATGAACCAGGCGCCCCACAGTTACAGTTCCAACAGCCAGGACACAGAAACAACCAAAATGTCCACCGACAGACGACTGGATACAGACAATATGGTACATATATACAATGGACTATTACTCAGCCATAAACAACAATAAAATAATGCTATTGGCAGCACCATGCATGGACCTGGGATAATCATACAATAAGTGAAGTGAGTCAGAGGAAGACGAATAGCATATGATATCAGTTATACCTAGGACTGAACACTAGACACACATGAACACAGCATGAACACTGTGT